TATATATCACTGTGTACATCAGTGCAAAGGCCCTGAATTCAAGCCCAAGTGCTACAGAAAATAATATAGAGTAGGTAGATGCATGCCCTTATCGAAGAGCTCTTCCAACCCTCTTTATTTAAAAAATATAAAAAGCCTCACTAGAAACAGATTGTATTTACTGCACTTTGTATCTTTCCGAAGCTTGTTTTTCCTTCCTCTACGAGATGCCAGGGAGCAAGGGGCGAGGGAACACGGCGAGGAGCCCTCTGATCAGAGTCTGCTGTGATCTTGGTGAATCTAACTTCAGAGTCTTCACCTTAGAGTCCACTCACCTTGGGGCTGGCTAAAGAGCTGCCCCCGGGGTGCACTGAGACGGCATTTGAGGCTGGGCATGGTGGTGCGCGCCTGCAATCCCAGTGCTTGGGAGGCTGTAAACAGGTGGGTCACTACCAGTCGGATCTAGTAGTGAGACCCTGAACACCCTGTAGACCCTTCCCTAAGATACAAAAAAAAGTCCATTCACCCCAAGCTGGGTTGATGGTCAGGTTGGGAATCCACAGTTCTGAAAATCCTGTAGCTCGTTCAGTGCTGAGAGGTCTAGGATTCAGGCTGTTTCTCTGCTGTGCAGAATAGTAGGTAAAAGAGGAATTGGTATATTTTGGTAAATCTCCTCCAGGGCACATGGTAAGAGAACAGTGACAATAAAGAGCATGTGAGAGAATGAGAAAGTGAGCAGCTTTGGGCACGTGGCTTCAGATCTCTGAGCCTCTGTTTCCACATTGAGAAAATGAAGACACGAGTTTCTACCCTGTGAGGCCGCTGTGAGGCTTAGCACCTAGCACACAGACGTTCAGGCACCACGTCTCTTAGTGCGTGGTGTACGGAAAATTTCTAACAAAGCTGCGTCGTGCCCACCTCCCACTCCCGTCTGCTTTCATCCACCTCTGTCTCTCCTCCAGTGACTGGTCCGTTGGCACATTCCAACGTTACCTGCCGAGTAGCTCCCTTATGCGCCATTAAATTGCAGACAGTCTCTACTTGTCACCCATGCAGACCTTGGCCTCGCTGTTGGCATGGTCCTGTGACAAACCGCAGGGTCCTGCCGGACTGACACCCCTCCTCTAGTCAGCCTCTCAAGCTTAGGCCTGCCCCACCACCGTCGCCTTCCCCGAGTCTTATCACCTTTGCCTGTTTTGTACTACCTTTTCTCCCTGCCTTGGTCTGCCCACCTGCCAAATGCCTTTCTAGTTACCTTCCCACATAGCCAGTGAGATCAAGTATGTGGCAGCTACTGCACAACGAGCACAATAAAGTTAGAGCCTCTGTTTAAGCATACTTCTCTATAAACTCTCCCTCTCTGCCAACCAGTTGTTCTCTGGTGGCTTCATACAGCTCTGCATGGAGTGATCTTTCCGGATGGTGCTTGCCTGACTTGAGGAGCTCATGTCTGTCAGGTCCTTAAATCCTGGCCCACAGGCTTGGGCTTTTGGGCCAGGGGAGGTGATGTCCCTCCCCTCCCCTCCCCTCCCCTCCCCTCCCCTGCGCTTCCCCCCTCCCCTCCCCTCCTTTCTCTTCCCTTCCTTTCCCTTCTCTTCTCTCCCAGTGGCCCCCAATGCAGGCACAGTCTATGTCATTTGCAATACGGGCATTCTCTATCTCACCTGGATGCTGTATGAAGCTTAGGACAACACGTTCAATCCTTTTATTTTCAGCACCCAAGGCATAGTAGGTGGGGTGAATCAACTAATGAATCTGAGGTGTGGAGTGGGGAGAAAGGTGGCCACAAAGAGAAGAAAAATGGAAAATCCACGTCTTCCCAAAGTGTCAGACACAGCTTGGGACAGAAACATTTGCTCAAACAATGAAGGAGGATGGATAATAAACACTTGAAAGAAAACAAAGGGATACAAGGAAACACAGACCCTAAGGCCAGGCGGGATGCCAATATATGGAGGCCAGCCACTCATTAAATATGGTCTCTGTTGTGTGGGCAGCCAGTCCTTGTTCCTTGTTTGAATATTGCTTGAGAGATTTACTCTTTCATTCTAGTTCTGCTTTATAGAGAAACAAAAATAACCAACAGAGAAAAAATGAAGTATGTGGCAGGGATTATGCAGTTACAGGAAAAGTGCTTAGCACTTAGCAAGAATTTGGAAATTTAACAGTTGGGGAGAAGGGTTTTCAATCCATGAGATTGGGAAAGATTGCTGGAAGGGCCGGCCAGATAGCTCAGCAGACTAAAGCACCTGTGTAGGCAGAGCACAGCAGCCAGGGTTTGATCCCCAGGGTACCGTGCCAGCCCCACCCCCGGGGCACACTGAGATGGCTACTGAGCCTGGGCATGGTGGTGCGCACCTGCAATCCCAGCACTTGGGAGGCTGAACACAGGCAGATCACTATGAGTCCAATCTATGTAGTGAGACTCTGTAGACCCTGTAGATCTTACTAAAATACAAATAATAATAGTAATAATAATAATAATAAGGGCTGTTAATATAGTTTAGAGGCATAAGTGCCTACCTGGCAAGTGCAAGATCCCAAGTTCATTCCCTAGTACCACAAAAAATAAAAATTAGTATATGTAAATGTCCTGAAGCCTTTGGAATCTTCCATAACGTATTTAGGCCATGCCTGCAATAGTAGCCCTGTGACCCCAAGGAGTCGCATCATCTTCCAAAGCTCCCTAAGGCCTATCCAAGGAACGGCTGGTAAGACAGAAGACTTGGCTCTGAGGAGGAGAAACCCCGTCCTCCTGTGGGATACCTGTTGTCAGTCCAGGACAGCTTCATTTAGCACAGTGTCAGGCCGTGCGCTAGCTCCAATTAAAACAAGAAAGAACAGAAACAGGCTCGACTGCAAGCTCCCTCTAGGCGTATCATCTCTGAAAATGGAATCTATTAGAAGCACGATGCTGCATTATTTTAGTCTGGAGAAAACAGGAACCTCTAAAGTAGGCCCATTGGGGCCGGGGAGATGGCTCAGTGGAATAAGCGCTTCCCTGGCAAGCGCAATGGGCCTGAGTTTAATCCCTGGTTCCGCAAAAATAAATAAATAAATAAAGTAGGCCCATTGCCCTTAATGCCGTCTGATCAAGTTGTGCTTGGTATAGACTCCTGTCTGGGGTTCCAGGATCCAGGGAGAACATCTCTCTCTTACTCCTTAGGGTACGCCCACAGCGGCAGGTCGGGGCTCTGCACGCAGGCCGCTTACAGAGCTCACTGCCAGGTCAGTGTTCTGGGCCGGAAGACCTTGGCGAGGGCCTTTCCTCCAGTCTTCAGCATTCCTGAGGTGAAGGATCATCCGCCCCTGAGGCCATAGGAACTGAGGCTCCAAGGGCCCGGCAGCACCTTCCGAGACACCGTGGGCCATGTGGCAGAGGCAGCGTCTCTGTGCGTGTGCATGTACCACTGTAGGGCCAGCCCTCTCAGCAGCTACTTCTAGGAGCTACTTCTAGATTCTTACCAGCTGGGAACTAGTGTTTTGAGATGAACCAAACTTACTCTCAGAGCAACTTCTGTACATGTAACTCAGGCTTGTAGTTTAGATATCAACTTGACAGCCAAAGCTGGAAATGCCAAGTGGTTGACCCAACTTCTCTTTATTGACTGGCCAGAGTAGCCGGTAAGAGGGCTTTGGCTTGGTAAATAGCAGGTGGCACAGTGTCAGCACGTCCAACCAAAATCAATGCTAAATCACTCAGCCTGTATTTTCTCTTTTCTTTTTCCTGTCAATGGAGACTTTACGAAGTAAGTTCCATTGTATATGGAAGAGACAAAGCAAATGCTTTCTGGTTAATTTGTTTCCTGACTGTAACATGTTGGAGCGAACTTCAAGATTGCCAGTTTAGGATTGTTTATTAGATGCAATATGGGATCAACGCCTCAAATGAAAAGGCATACTCATGGTTTTTGAATTTCTGTTGAGAAGAAAACTCAGTACCTCAAGATGCTCATCATCATCATTGTCATTTTCTTCACCCTTGAAACCACTACTTATCTGAGACCTTTGTACATCCGGCACATGGGGCAGCACTCGATACCCATTGCTTTGTTTCCTCCTCGAATTGCCTTAGGTGACCAGTACTCAGCTCAAAGCAGCCTAGTCACTTGTCTAGTGTTTTATTCCCAGTTAGCAAGCTGTACAACCAGGCTGTGAGTCGGCACTCAACAAACTTTAAAACCGATCATTGCACATGGGAAGATTTCCATTTGGTGTCCCAAAGAAGAAGGCTGTTTGTCAATGTGAGTGTTTTTGCAGTGGTACAGTCCAAATATTACTGCTCAAATCACTGACAAGTGCTGTGTAGAGAGCGTGCAGTTCATCATCAGTTTAAGGATGAGGACATGAAGGCTGGTCAGGACAAAAGGCACGGGCGGGTCAAATCGATGCTGGACGGTACACGTTCTGATACTGCAGGCACATGCGGTCCAACACAGGCAGAGTCTTCCTGGGAGAGTTGGGTCTCCCATTTGTTAGCCTGCTGCAAGCTGAAAGCTAGTCTCAGTTTCTGGAGGCATCCTGTGTTCCTGGCTCTTGACCCTTTCCATCTGCACGGCCCGCTGTGACAGATGAAGTCCTTCTACTCTGACTCTCTGGTGCCCTTCTGCACCTCTGTCCTGCAAACACCCAGAGACAGTCCTCTGCTCGTGTGGCTAACTTGGGTCATTTGGGATGCTCTTCTGGTCCTAAGTTCTGTAGCCGCGATTACTTCCTGAAAGGCCCTTGTGCTGGGCAGCCTTCACCATGTGCAGATGGGATTGGAGAGTGGAGCCCGCACGGCGTTAGCCTACCGGGGAGCAGAACCCGCACGCTGCTGTCTCTGCGAGGCACACAAGCAGAGCCAGCAGATGAGATGCAACTTGCAGGGTGCATGTCTCTTCCGTCTGTGGGTTCGGACTCCTCACGAAGCTTGGTGCGCCCCACAATCCCAAGCTCAGCCAGTTGCTAGGAGTTTTATTTTTAAGATGGTTTCCAAATGTCTTTCTCCTACTAGTGTCTTAAAAAAAAAAACCAGTTCTGATTTGCATCATTTTCATATTAGTACTCAGTGGTCCATAAGAAATCACTCGAGCTTGCTTCCCCTTGGCGTGCTCCACAAGAATTAGGTACACACCATCTTTTACGAGCTTGCTGCCCCCCACGGGGTCATCAAGATAATGACAAGGATGACTATCCTTACTGTCACCCAATTGTATCACCCTGGAAAGCCACACCCAGAAAGGTGAGTGACACAGCTAATTAGGGAACAGAGGCAGGCTTCAGGTGCCCTGGACAACAAATCCCAGCTTCCTTCTGCCGTGCCAATCTGTCTCCTCTCATTCCCTTCTCTCTCTCTCCTTTACTCCTCATCTTTCAATTAGTCAGTCATTTTCATTACCCCGCGCTCCTCTCCGCCATCTCCACATTTCATTTAAATTGTGGGGCCACAGCTGGCTTCTGAAAGCTGCCATCCCTTCCCTGTAGCATGGTGGAGCTTGATTTTGTCACAGCTTTATTTGCTTTCATCCGCACAAAGCGCTGTACCCAGCTGGACTACATTCAGTCTTTCTGCACAGTGCCTAGATTCTTCAAAATGTAATCCGATTAATGCTGCAGACTGCAGATGTGTGGGAGGCAAGAGCTCTATTGCAGGAAAGCTCTAGGCTTTTCCATGTCCTCTTCCTCGAGTGAGTTTTAAGGCAATCAGATGAAATAAGCCAAGAGCCCCTGGAAAGGCCACCAGCCTAGCGTAGGAGGTTTAATTTATGAGTCCATTTAAGGACCAAGTCATTGAACTTAGACAAGTCATGGAGGTTGTGAAGCCAGTCAACTTTGAATTGAAAAACAAAAAGAAATGTTAAGAGGCAAGTGGTTTACTTAAATTCTTAGTTTTGAAAGAAAAGGAGAACACATGACAATAGTAGCTGGCCTTCACTGGGCACCAGACACCTTTCTAAGGCATTGTGAGTGTCTTAACTGGTTCGTGGGCACAGCCCTGTGAGCCATGTCCATGCCGTGGGGATCACAGTCCTGCCCATTTCAGGGAGGGAAACTGGGGCGTAGAAAGTTGGTGACCTGCCCACAGTGGCCTGGCTGATACTTGCAGAGCCAGGATTTGAATTTAGGCCCTTCTAGCCCTGGAGTCCATGTTCTCAGTCTCTGCCATGCTGTTTCTCCGAAGCTTATCCTCCTCCTGTGTTTGAAGTATATTGTGAAAGGGGCCAAGGGTACAGCTCTGTGGCACAGTGCCTGCCTGGAAAGCATGAGGTTCCGAGTTCAAGTCTTGATACCAAAAAAGAGAGAGAGAGAGATAAGGAGGACTGGGCTGGGGTAGAAGACCAGGAAGTGAAGGGCAGGAAGAAGTGAGGCTTTTCCCTTTCTTAGGGCTTTGGGCCCTCTCGATGCACTGATTTTTTCCTGGCTGCATGACCCCAGATAGAACCTTCAGTTATCTAAACAGGAGGAAGGGCCAGGTCCTCCTGGAGAGGAGGCTGAGAGCCCCTGGGAAATTCCTCCTGGGTAGGAACTGGGGCTTCCGGATAGGACAGCTCGTGGCCAGCAGAGTTGGGGTCACGGTGAGGAGAAACTGCTGAAATACAGGCGGTGGGAAAAGAAGAGCTGACTGGAGTTTTATGGCATCCAACCAACTGGGAAGGAGCATTCAGGTAGTTGATTAAGTGTTGTTTTGGGACAGAGCCAGGAGGGCTTTTCCAAAAGACATGAGCACTGAATCCGCAGACTGAGGCAAGAGGTGGATTGTCACCAATACGGGGAGACATCATCTCGCCCAGTGAGGGCCTGAAAGAAGCAGCAAAAGGCGGGGGAAAGACAAAAAATGTTGCCCCCTGCTGGAACTCCCACACTGTCCTTGACTGCCCTAGAAATCAGAGTTCCTGGGTATCTGCCCTTAAGACTCAGGTGGAGAGTTAAACCCTCAGTACCCACAGTGAGACGCCACCTGCAAGTGGACAGCCCAGGAGATCTGATGGTGTAAGCCCAGGTGAGATCTACAGGCCCAGAGCCAGGACCAGGACCCAAGGGGTCCCTGGGGGAACCAACCCAGGGAGCTGCAGTCACCCTTACTGCACCTGGTGGTCTTCCCCAGGCCTCAGAGTGGTGGCGTGATGCCCACCTGCATTGGTGACGGCCTCCCCCTTCGCCAGTCTGCGCACTGCAGGGCTCAGCTCTTCCAGATGCCCTCGCCAGGGCGCACCCCAGAAAGAGCTTTACCAGCATTTTGGTTTCCCAAGTCTGGTTGCCACCACCTTCGTGAAACATAACAAAGTGCTGTGACAAGATTTTTAAGAGGAAAAAGTAAAACAGGATTGAATTATAGGGTTTTTTTTAGTTAATTAACTTAGAGAACATGTAGGTATTTTCTTCTCTAGAGAAATTCATTTCTTCTGTACCCTTAAATGTACCCTACCATCAGTGACACAGTGACCCCTACCATCAGAAGTCCCAAATCACAAAAGCAGAGTGGAAAACCTACATTTTGGTCCTAGTTTTCCTTTACGGACTGATCAGGTCACCAGGTCTGGGAAGTCACCCCCCAGGACGCCCCAGCGACGTGTGAGGTCAGCGTGGTTCCTCTTGAGTCCCTGTCACAGATGCTGTGAGATATGTGCTCTGAGGGAAAGCAATTTGGTGGTGCAGATTCCTGGACTGGTGCAAGCACTCACAGTCCGGTGTTGTTGGAGAGACTCGCTCCCACTGGGGGTTGCTATGCACAGTGATCGAGAAGGAGGCCAGATGTGTTCATGGGTAGAAAAATCAGTAGGACAAAGGGAATAGGGATGAAGCAAAGGGGGACGCTCAGCTTACCTGCCCTTTCTAGGATGCTGCTGTTTGCTTCCTTGAGCTGGCATGCTCCTAAGCCCTGGCCAGAGTGACACCTGTGTGTCAAGGTGCCACAGGACCATGAGACCCATGGAATTATCTTCAAAAGAGGGCAATGAACGCTTAAGACCCTGCAGTGTGCTCTGGGAAGTTGGCAGAGGCAGGAGGCAGATTGGCTGTGTGCACTGGGTTTGCTAGGTCGCATTGCCACTTCTTGCCCCCACCCCCTGCGGCTGCATTAACTACAGCCAGAGCTCTGCTCTGACAGTGGAGGTTTCCCCAATACAGAAAGAACTCCCAGCTCCTGCACGCTAGGAGAATCCGAGGTCCCTGCTGCCCTGCTCTGGTGACCACCACTTGCCCTTCCAGAGCCTCTCAGCCTTGGTGTGACCACATGGTCCTTTATAGACACAGCGAACCCTTAGCTGCTGCTTCATAGGTGACACAAAGTTGAGGACACTCAGTGAAACTGAGACAGCCCTGGGGTTCTGGCTCCCCGTCTTTGCTTCTGTCAACTTGGTCTACACTGGGTGCAGTGTGAGTGCCTGGAGTGTGCGGTGGCTTGGTCACGGTGCGACAGAGACTCCCCTGTGTGGTTCCGGCTGGTGCTCACATGCTGTGCCCTTTGGTCTTGCCTCCCATGTACCACAGGATCAATAAACAAATAAGCAGGTTTCGGAGATGGTTACCCAAGAAGCCGATGAGGCTGGACAAGGAGACACTGCCAGACCTGGAGGAGAACGACTGCTACACTGCCCCCTTCAGCCAGCAAAGGATCCACCAGTGAGTGTTTCTGGTAAAGCCCTGTCTTACTACGCCTTCCCCTGGACCCAGCAGCACTGTGTCCTGCTTCCCTCAGAGTCTCACGTTTGTGTCAGTCAGTCAGGGGAAGCCAGCTGCTGTAACAACCATCCCCAAACCTCTGTGGTTCAAAATGAGGCAGTGCCCCTTCCCATGCATATTGGACGAACACCCTCCCTGATGATTTAGAGAGCCAGGCCCCTTCTGCTGTAGCTCTGCTTAACCCCAGCGCTCAGTGCCCCCCGCACGCCAGCAGGCAGAGAACCTGGCCCACAACTTTCCTCTTTGAAAACAGAGGTTTGTTTATTTGTTTGTTTGTTTTTGTCTCAGTTTGCTTCTTAGTTCCTTTTCCTTCAGCAATTCACCAAGTTGTGCCAGGGAAAGCCACCTCACTGAGAAGCCTAGGTGTGGACTCACCTATCAGACTGTCACAGAGCAGTAGTTTGTCACTTTTGACATGTGGGCAGAAAAAAAAGTTTGCTAAGTAACCGAGCCCATGAGAGGAAAAGGCAGGAGTGCCAGGAGGCAGAGTGGGAAGGGAGAGAGGAGCACGCCAAGGACTGTGAACAACCAGGAGAGAGAGCCTCCCTGAGGAGCGTAAATCAGGTCAGCCCAGCTGCACACTCAGTCAGGCAAGGAATCCCTTGTCGGCCCTCTTCCAGCCAGGTGACAGCCTCAATAAAAATGACTTACCTGAGGTGGCTGATTCTGAGAAAAACTAAACCAAGATGGCAGCTGCAGAAAATTGCAAGGCGTGCAGGGTGGGGACCTGTTTCAGCAGCAGAGGAACTATGGGAGTCTGTGGACCTGTAGGGGACAAAGGAGAGATGAAAAGTGAAACAATAGATGCTCCGCATCACTTGTGCAACACGCAAGCAAGTCGGTGTAATGCAAGGGAGGCAACCAGAAAGCCTCAGAAACAGCCAGTTCTTGGTCTTTGTGGGTCAGATGTGATGCCAAGCCAGGTACATGACATGAACATTTAAAACATGAGTCTCGCAGCCCTAGTTAAAATCTCCTTGGAAAATAGGAGCCAAGAGATACTTCCCCTTGCATGCAGTGATCAGAACCTAGAGGTATCTTCTTAAGAAAAAACACAGATGAAGGGTGGCACATTCCCACTCCTAACTTGAATCTTTGCCATGTCATTCACCTTGGGAGTTTTTTCAACAAATAATTGCTTTTTAAATGTCCACGATCTGATTTACATGCAGATTTTCTTTGCTTCTCATCTCTCTAAGAGAGTGCCTAGCATAGGGCAGACGGTCTCAGGATTTTGGGATATATGCACAGGTGGGTAGATAGATGATCGGACAGACAAACAGGTGGATCAGTAGATGGAAAGATGGAAGGATGAAAGGATGGACAGATGGATAGATGGATGGATGGATGGATGAATGGGTGGTGTAGATGTACGGAAGACTCAATGAAGTATGTGCTATACTGCTTGCTTTTATTTCTAATGACTATAGGGAAATAGAAGAAAAAGATCTCCCACTCCCCTTCATGCTGGTTCTTACTTTCAATCATTCCTGATGTTCTTACTTTAGGTCACTTCAGAACATTGTTCTCAAAGTTAAAAACATGTGCGCATCCATGACGATTTCTAGAGACTAGAACTGAGGATGGTATCTATACATATTTTTTAAGATACAACAAATAGGAGATGACAGCATGTGGGATAAGGATATTACTCATATATCGGAGAAGATTTGTGGTCTATTTGTGTGTTGATTATGACCCAAATAAGTGATTGGGTCAACAGTCACTTAAGCGATCTCCACACCCTGCCAAACACTTGCTGAATAGAGAGGATATAAAGAAAATTAATACAATATGCAGAGTCTCGACGCCAACCTTGTTATGCAGATGATTTTCATCATTTGGAAACAGTAAGATCCAACTTCAAAGAGGGACTGTTTAGTGCTGCAGGTCTGGAAGGAGGCTGGTGAGTGATGAGTGTTAGTAACGAAGAAGAGTATGTTTGATGTCAGTCCACTAAGACTTGTCCTAGTAAGGCGGGCAGGGGAAAATGTCTTTAGAAAACAAAGCAGTGTATGAAAGGACAAAAGCATGAAACAGGAAAGGGTGTTGGGAAAACCCTGGTATTCTTCTGTGAACAAGATAATAGGGTAAGAGGAGGACTTAGTCTTTAAAAAAAAAAAAAAAAAAAAAGACTGGTTAGGAAGATAAGATTTCAAGATCCAAGCATCAAGAAAGAAAAACTGGAGGAATAGCTAGAAGCAAGGAAACTAAGAAGCAGACCTAGGCAGTACCAAGAGGATAGAGGTGGCAGTTGTGTCATGTAAGAGGAAAATGAAAAGTTAATGCATCTCAGATGCTTTGTGTGCTGGGAATTTCTTTTTGTTCGGCAAGTTCATGCCACGTGAGTAACATCCTTCAGATTGGTATGTAAAAGTAAGTCTTGAACACTGTCTGTCAAGTTGAAAACAATTATTGGAATAATCAGGGGGGCGAGGGGAAAGAAATCCTTCTGGATGCTTTGAGAACAATATTAACAGGTTTAATTTAATTGGAAGGAGCCAGCTAATGAGCTCCGGGAGTTGCACCGTGGCTTCCCAAATGGAGCCCAAAGTTCATGCCACTTCTCGATTTTACAGAATGCTTGAAGATGGTTTGTCTTGGAGGAAAAGAGAATGATGGAAACATAAGTGTGGGGGAGGCATTGATGTAGTAGAGAAAATTCTAAACAATGGTCATTCTGGAGAAGTATCTAAAAGTACTTCACTGTCACATGAAAGCCAGATTTCTGAGTTGGTCTCGTCCCTCCTCTGTCCACCCGCTGTGCACTGTGGCCACAAGGAGCTCTTCGACCTCCTCAACTCACCTTGTGACCTTTCTTCCTCCCTCCTACACCTGTCCTTCCTCCTGCCTTCTTTCAGGATTCAGCTGAGACGTCCAGATAATCTTCCACACTTTGCAACCTCTGCCCCCAATTATGGATGAGGTGCGCTTTTTGTGTGTCTGTGACACTGTGTATTGAACTCAGGGCCTTTGCGCTGAGCTATATCCCCATCTCCTGCCTTTTAATTTATTTATTAGAATTTTGAGGCAGGGTCTCATTAAGTTGCTAAATTTCCCATGCTGGATTCAGACTTCTGATCCTCCTGCCTCAGCCTCTCAGAATGCTGGGCTAATAGGCATGTGCACTCTTTTATGTCATGGTAATATTTCTTTTCTTAAATGAATAGCACTGTTCATTGTGCCTTCTCTTACATTACAAGTTCCTTCAAGGACTATGTCTGTACTGCCAATTTCAAATCCCATAGTAGATGCTTACAGTGATTTGTTTAGTTAAAAGAAAATGAATACGTGGAAACAAAAATAGAAGAATCCTGTAAGCGAAGAATGAATATAAATGTTGCAAATTTGACTGACAGCGTATTTGATCTCACGTCAACTTCAAGGTGTCTTCACCATGGTGTCCACCTCTATTTTTGCCCGTGTCAGCAGGCAGCACTAATGTTTGTTCAGTGGCTGGGAACAGAGTCTGGAAGCTATTTTGGACTCTGCCCTCCTCTCTATCTCCTACACCCTCAAGGACTGAGGATTTGACCCTCGAGCCTGAACGCGCTCCCGCTTTCTCCTCTTTGCCGCCCACGCTCTCACTTTGGAGCCATCTCCCGGTCCTACCCTTACACTCCTGAGTCCATGAGCTCAGAGCACGCAGTGATGTTTCCGAAGTGTGTATCTGACCACGTCATGGCACCCAGCTTTAAAAAATGGAGAACACTGAAATGACTGCTGGGATCAGCCTAGTCCCGCTGCTCTGTCCTCCCCAGCCCTCGCTGCCCCGCCAGCCTCCCTCCTGCGATTCTGACCTGGACACACACAGTACTCTCAGCCCTTCGGGTGACTCTCTCAGGGCATCTGGATGTGGCATTTCCTCTCCCAGAATACTCTTGCTGCTCATTCCCATTTCGTCATCTAAAAACATTCTTGATTGATATAACAACCATACATAGTTTCAAAATACAGTGTGATGCTGTGATTCATGTGTATGTTGGGTAATAATTGAATCAGGGTAATTAGCATGTTAGTCGCTAAACTTACATCATTTCTTTAGGATAAATACATTGAAAATCCTCTCTGGTGTCTCTTTTGAGATATACTATAGATTACTGTTGACTACATCCCCCTGCTGTGCCGAACACCACCAGCACTTATTCTTATGCAACGGCAGCCTTGTACTCGTGGACCAACCTCCCCGATCCCTCCTCCCTCCTCTCTCAGTCTCTGCCAGTCTATTCTCCCAGCTCCCACAAGAGCAATGCCTTTACATCCAACACGTGGTGTGGTTCCTTCAGACCTGAAAGCACCCTAACTCCCTCCTTTCCTGCCAATCCTGCCAGGGGCCACTTTGATCTCCACTCCTTCAAGAGAACGTTTCCTGTATAGCATGTTTCATGATTGGAATTTTACAAGTAGGTAATTGTTATTTGATTAGTGCCCAACTGTCCAGAAAGGCTGTGTGCTCTGTTGAGGCACAGCCACGTCTAGTTTGGCTCACAGTCCCGTCTCCACCACTTAGCATTGTGTCTTGCACGCAGCCAGGGCTCAGCATGTGTCTAGTCAATGAACAGAACAGAGACAAAGTAATAAAGATAAAGCAGAGTGATCTGACTGTAAATATTTCTACTTTGAACTGTAGTATACAAAACAGTGAAGTTGATCATCAATTTTAAAATAGTCTAGTGTTCCATTTGAACATATATCTGTGTCTGAGCAGCGACCAATGTAGACCTGTGGTAGACCCGTCTCTCAGCCAAGGATGCATGTCGTTATTTTATAAGGTGTCACCAAAGATGGGCTTACTGTACACAGAATACTACTCTAAGAACTTCTATTTATTCTTATAGCAATAAGTCTATATAATAATTATCACCATTTTACAGATGAGGAGCGTGAGGTCTAGAGAAGTTAAAGAACCTAGTGGGTTAGATCACCTGCCTCTTCCCTAT